TTGTCCCGATTCACTAACTCGAAGAGAGCATACATTAAAAACAAAGGTAAAATAATCGAAGAAAATTTGTCATCACAAAATATCCTCTTTTCTTCGCTCCACTGAGACCAATACAGAAATCCATGTTTCTTATACATTGTTTACTTAGGTGCTTTCGGGGAAGTTCTAAACGGGGCACATACAAATTTAAATTATCCTCTTACATACAGAGTGCTAATAAATGTTTGAAGTTTTAAGAAATCTTTTGATTACAAATATGACTTTAAGCATTGATGAGACACCATCATAAAAAGGTCTAGTAATGCATACTACTCTTAGCCTTTTGGTCTTTAATTATCCACCCCCCATTATATATTAAGAAAGGAATAGCAACGTACTTAAAGAAGAAGATAGAAAAAGAAGATTTATGCATTATGGAGTTTTCAAGTGTAGAATCGAGCTTTTACTATATTGGTGCAACATCTTTTTAGAATTCAATGTAAATTGTGTACCATGCGCATGATTTAAGGAAATAACGTTTAGAATTTTCAAAATTCATTCTTTAAACTAACTTAAAGAAGATCGGTCAAAATCTTGAATTATAAATGAACTCTTTTTCAGGATTACAATGACCCTGAGAGCAAAATCAATCCAATTTCAATTTTGTTCTTTTACAACTTAGGACTCACCACTATAACAAGTACATGGCAATGCTTTAATAGATTATTTACTTATAAACACGTAAGCATGACTAAACTTGTCAAACTTCAATTTAAAATAACTTAATCTCAATTCTAACTCCATCCGAATAAAGTGATTTGCCCCCACGCACTCTCCAGACTTCAACTAAGCCCCTGTTTGGCCCCCATTACGGGGAAAATTTAATGTATAGAATAGTGTTTTTTGAAAAATGAGTGGTTGAAAAAGAAAGAAAAATTTTCGATTTACGTGTAATATTATTTTATGGAAGATTGTGTGGTTGAAAATAGGAGAGAGAAAAATAGAATGTAATGTAATGTAATGTAATGAAAATCAAACAAGTGCTAAACCAATGTAAACCATCAATTTACAATCCATAAATAATTGCCTAATCAAACAGTGAAATTTTCTTTATAGATTCTACATATACCTATAAAACAAACAGACAGGTAAAAATGAAGTTCGTGAATTATTGTGAAGAATTCTTTTTTTATAAAAATCACAAGGTAGGGTTAGCCCTAAGGCCATTAGGCCAATGCATGTCCCATCTCCCAAACCTGTCTGCTTCAGGTGGTTTCAGATTTTACTGTACTGAAACCCTAACTGCAGTCAAGAAATGAACTGAGAGACAGTTTTGGTTCACTACACAATCATTAAAAATGATACTTCTACTTGTTTGACACTAACAAAATAACAATAAAAGGACAAGAAGTTTACTGTTACATCACATGGAGTTCTTTGCTTTAGCTGTCTGAATAGTAATGCAGAGATTAGAAAATTATTTTTAAGACTGACAATTGACAAATAGTGTTTTTGTTTAGGATGTTAGGTTTAAACAATATGGTATTTATTTTTTCTTAACAAATTTATCAGATTAACAGTGAACAAGATTAAGAAAGACAAAAAAGAGGTTGTAACAGTAGTGCTATTCAGTCGTCTTCTATCTAGTGAGTCGAACATGCTACAGCAATGAGAAAGACGAGTTTTTGATCATCTAGGATATTGATACAAAATGAGACGTGGGTTCCAATACGTTGTCAATTTAGAGTTCCTTATGGTTCATTGTCATTCGCTGGTCCCTAAAGGGAACTAAGTCTCCATGTGCAAGAGGAAATCAAAAGCCTTTGCCCTTGATCTTGATATGGAAGTATTACAAGAGAAGTCTTTTTTTCCTTAAATTCAGGGAGAAATGCATAATGTGGTCAACAAATAAGGGTTATGAAAGGGATTGGAATCTGATATTGTCTATCCAAGCATTAAATGAGAAACCACAGTGTTTTTGAGTCATTGTGATTAAAGTGGTGACATTTTCTTGTTTAGTCTTTTTCAGCACTTAGGAACATGGAGCATGAGTCCAAACTACACTCACGGGCGGACCCACATGGGGTCATGTGGGGTCAAATGACCCCACAGTTTTCTGAATTTTTTTTTTTTTGTGTTGAAAACTTAATTTTCTGTTTTTTTTATGCTGAAAACTTAATTTTCTGCCTCAAAAAGTTCAAATTCTAAATCTATATTCATATCACATGGTCCATATCCATTATTTAGTCCATAAATATATCATATAATCCAACGATTTCTTCCCAAAGTGCACATATCGAATATGAACAGTAAACAACCGATTTTTCCTTTTTTTTTCATGATACGTTGTTCGAAAAAAAAAAATTTTGACCCCACAGTTCAAATGGTCTGGATCCGCCCCTGACTACACTTACCTGGGGTGGGGAGAAGACATGAATATTGACGGTGATTAATTTTGAAAGGAAGACTCTGTTGAGTCTCAAGTCCATTTGACCTAGAAGAAACTCAAAGTCTGCCATCAAGGAGACGAGTCTCGAGAGAGGCTCAAGCCCATAGGAGGACGAGAGCATTAAGCTCGAGGCCAATTGACTTTGAAGGAACTGATCCCACCTATTGGGGTTGACTGTTGATGAGGCAATCATTTCGCGAGTCAAGAGGAGATAGTAAAAGAATTGATATTTCATCTTTGCTTATAAATATGTGGGCCTAGTTAAAAAAATGTAAAACATTAATCTGGACAACTTGTTCACTACTTATCATTCTAATTCTTCTTTCTGACTTAAAAATAGAAGACTTACCTGCTTGACCAAGAGAAATAGGAGGTCACGAAATGGATTCTTGACCTTATCACCAGTGGAATCAATCTAATTGTTGGGGGTTAAAACACTCCTACATATAATTTACATAATTTTAGGTCCTCAATTTTTTTCTTTAATTCTTCTTTTTGTTGATGTATATATAAAGACTAAAGATCCCTTAGTATATTTCTAAGAAAGGCCAGTAATTAATATGACAGCCACCACATCTTACCTGCCTGGTAGTACCTGGCCTGTATCCACATCAACCAGGTTGTCTGACCAATTTACTAATCGAAAGATAACAATTATCTAACCTTAATTTTTGTCTTAAACTATGTCATGAACATTTAATTAATTAAAACATATACCCACAAAGTATAATCCAACAAATTTGTAATATTCCAATCTTAAAATAACACCAAGGGAAAAGCACAGGGTGGTAAAAAAAAATTTAATTTTTATCAACTTTTTAACCACATTTATCAATTTTTATTAAAATCTACTTTAAATATGATTTTTAGCAAAAATCCAAACACGGATTTAAATATTTTGACAGAACAGCAAGTGGCTCCGATGAATGCTAACTTCATTGATGTACTCCAATTCAATATGTACCAACCTGTACCCAATGGTCCCTAGTGAAGGAGTGGAAGGAAATCCACAAGAAAACCCTACAAATATATCGGAGAATAAAGAGATAAGAGAGCCTTTTGAAGAATGTGATCCGAGTTTATAATAGAGAAATGGAAACTAAGTGTAAAGAATTAACATCGAATCAAAATTTTGACTTAAAAAGCCATTTTTTCAAGTTAAAAATATATATGGTGAACATAATTTGGTTCGGTCCGATACTGATAAGAATTGAATTGAATTGAACTGTATACTAATGAAAATTGTAAAATGTAGAGCGTGGAGCTGAATCGAACCATAATCAATTAATTATGGTTTGCGCTAGTTCCATTCATTTTATGTTTTCGTAAATTTTTCAATTTGACGTTCTTACTTTCTGTTTCAGTAAGCGAAAGTACTTTACATAAATTAACTTAGTTGTCATTTAAATTGAAAAATTATAAAAATAAAAGAACCCAAAATTGATTCTCGATTTTAAGATCTAAAGCCAATTAAGTTAACTAGTTGACTCAGTTCACTAGTATTATAATTCCTTTTAATTAAGAAAAAAATTTGACAATTTTTGTTTACATAATACTGATTAATATTATCACGTATAAAATTTTACTTTTCGTACTCTTTTGGAACTGTTATGCTGTCAAATTCACGTTACCAACCGCACGTGAATTTTCTTTTTCACAGTGCAATGTGTAGTTCTATTACCTTATCCATGGTTGTGCATCTGTACCACTTGGGAAATGAAGTGTAAATACTTACCCTATATAACATGCATCAATGTTGTACTTTCTTGGTCATGTAATCGGGGTATCTTCTTCAAATTGATTTACTTTCTTGAAGAGCAAGTTGAACCATAAGCCCGAAAATTTGTACGCCTAAACTGATTTCCAAAATGACAGGGAAAAGAAGCCTTTAGGTACAAATAAAATTACTAAATAGTAAATATTGTCATCAAATCTTGTTTTTAATAAATATTATTTAGTGTTTGTTAGGGAAAGTTTAAAAATTTATTAAAAAATTGATGTCAAATTCAAGAATTTATTTTAACCACAAATTTCATGTGACCCACAACTTTTATAATATTTCAATAACACATTTCATCAACTTTTAACAAAATATGCTAAATTATCAAAAGTTTCAACGAACTATCACTTAAAGAGATTTTAAGATTAGACAAACTAGTAATGTCATTCAATCATTATCTATGCATTGACAAGTGGTCTTAATTTGCTCGTGACATATTATCTCTCCTTTTTTCATCGAAACAAGATTATTCTTCTTATTTCAATATCATCATCATAGCGAGAGGAATAATAGAAGAAAGCTCCATCGATCTCATTAGGAATAATAGGGGATTCAGGAGACAAATTTTTAAAGATTACATTCGAACTATACTAGCTTGCTCCTAGCTATCTAATAAGCGAAAGTGATGAATCATCAATACCTCTAGCTTTTGCTTAATTAGGGGGATTTAAACTCAATATTCACTTATCATGTCGAATTCAATTTAGAAATACCCCACCCAATTACTTTCAAGATAAGCACAATCGGTTCGAGTCTTCGAGATTAAAGAAAGAGAGATTAAGGTCCACTTAATTAATGCTAAACAGTCATTACTCATTACTAATATTCTTATTTAGTTTTACAATTACAGCTACTAGCTAAAGCTGACAATAGAGCCATTTAACTAAAGCACCCCTGGTATGGGCGAATATTAAACTGAACAACAACGAAAAAAATTAAAAAAAAAGAACTAACGGCCGTTAGCAAGTGGACTGACGGCAGTTTCCTTGCACGGACTCGGTGGTAGACTACTCCTTCCCAATGCAACAAGCCGTTGCACAAACCCTCCGATTCTTTGTGCATTTGTCTCCGTTAACAACCGTTTCCCGCCAAACGGCAGCGACTCAACGCCTCTCTCCGCCAAAACCTCTTCCGTTCGTTCACCAACGCCGTTAGCCTATAACGTAACTCCGTGATCAGAAATATTTTGTAAATTAATTATAGCAAAGTTAATTTAATTCCGAATAGTATAAATTAACTTGAAAATTACCTGAATTCTGACGTAACAATTGGGGTTCCAGCAAAAGGCATTGCCGAGCATCTGGTCAATGGTTTCCGAGACGCCGTCGAGGACAATGCTGACAATGGACGACGGCGAACAGTCGTTGCCACTGCGGAGTTTCAACTTCGATGCAGTGCTCAACAGTCCGTTACCGAGAGAGAGTACCAAAAGGTCGTCAACGCCGGTGACTGACGGGAAATCTCGCTTGTTGTGCAAGACGTGAGTTACGGCTGCGGCGGCAGGGTTGTTCATCACAAGTCCACCGTCTACGGCCAGGCAAGAGGTTTTTCCGTCAATCGAGTTGAGCTTGAACGGCTTGAACATTGACGGAGTCGCTGATGTGGCGCGGATAACTTTCCATAGCTCAAAATCAAAGCTCGCAGACTCGGTGGCATCGGCGCGGGAGAAGACGAATGGCGCCGAGCTGTTGAGGTCAAAGCATGGTATTAGGAGAGGCTTACACGTATCCTTTAAAGTCAAAACCTTTCCGTCTTCTCTCCTAAGAGTCTCCTTCAGCACCCTATCCATGCTCGTATCCGAAAACCTATGTCGGCGGCGAAAAATGCCGACGTTTTTCTCCTTAAAAAGCTTCGCCTGATTCTCTATAAAAAATTCAACAGCATCTTTCGCGGAGAACAGCGGACGGCCAGCACCATCGTCGGCGACGATCAAGGCGGCGAGAAAAGCGCCGATACCCGTGCCGGCGATAATATCGAAGAAATCTACAACGCGTGCATGAGAATCACTGGTCATCGCTTGGATCTGAGACTCAAGGTGAACCAAGGCTGCTCCGGTAACAATGCAAGTAGTTCCTCCGCCGTCAATGCTTAAAACACGCGACTTCTTGCCATCACAGTGGTACAACCAATTCTGCTCTAACTTGGAAAAAATCTCCAAAGTCACCTTATCCAGGTCCATCACTCTAACAACTTTCTCTCACTATATAACTCCACCACTATATGCAAATCAAAGCAAAAAACAGCAAGCAATTTTGCAAGCTAGCAAGTAATGTGTCTAGATATGCAGCTATGAAGGAAAATCCGTGAAAAAGTGAAAGTCACGAATTAATACTGAGAAGCATTGATGGCAATGAAATGCAGATGAACACCTTTTCACTGTGTGTAACTGGGCATTTTCTTGCAAGGAAATGTGGGAGACTGAGAGAAGTGAGAATGGGGGAGATGAGGTTACGTGTGGTATTATAATATAGGCGGATTCTTCTAATTTGTTTTTAATTTTTATTTTTTAATATGTACGCCTGTTTTGGCTTTTGTGTTTAGTTTATTAATTCCAATTAATTAATAACTCCAACATGACCTGAAAATTAATTACACTCGCTTTTACTGATTTACCATCTAAATGTACGCACGTGCGCAGGAGGATGCGTTTTCATTGGATTCTGTCATGGTTGAATTTGAGATGGGCTAGATGATGTTGGGCCGTTTGGAGAGCCCATTAAGTTATTTCGAGTATGTTAAGGAAAAAATCATAAATACCTATGAAATAAAAAAGATTTCTCATTAATATTAAAAGGGAAAAATTCACATGTTTTAACTATGCACAATTCAAAAATCATATGTTAAGTTTAATTATACAAAAATCAGGTTTTTATTTAATTAATTAAAAATATTTATTAAATAAAGATTATAACGTCACATTTATATAATTAATGATCACACATTCATAAATATAGGTCACAAATTTATTTATCGGTCACATATCATCAAATTAATTGGTCATCTATTATTTCGGATCACAAATAAAAAATTTTGTAAGTTACAAATTATTTCAAAGTTATAGATTATTCAAATTACAGGTCACAGTTTGTTAGTCACAGATTATTTTTTAGTCACAAATTATCGAATTTTAAGTTTACAGTTAAATAATTAGTCACAAATAATAAAATAATTGGTCACAAATAACAAAATAATTGGTCACATATGCCAAACACCCAACTCCTATTGATTCACCACAAATTTTTTGTCACAAGCACCTAATTGGTCACATATGCCTAATTAGTTGGTCACAAACGCCGCCACCACCTCAAAAACACAACAAATCATGCCAAAAAATCACACGACCACAACCACCACCGCACATAATCAACACCTCACCAGCACCTCCAAAACAACCGCTGCAGATCCCCGTAGCCACCAGATCGAGAAACCCTAAACCCCCCCAAAGTGCAGATCGAAAAAGAGAAAATTGCAGCTTTGTCGTCGATTTTAGTGCTAACAACACAACAACAAGGCCACCACCAACCATAACTAACCCTACCATACACCCACCACGACGCCAACACCACTGCAGCCACACCCATCACCACCACGCACCCACGACGCAGCATCTGTATCAGTACTAGTGTACCACCGTCGCCTTCGTGAATAGAGAAGAAGCGGCATCCCCTCGCCACTGCAATCGAGAGAATCGCTGCACATGACGACGTCGATCGATCAACAAACCACACCACCACCATCAACGGCGAACAACAGAGGAATGGATCACCAACGTCAAAGAGAGAGAAGGAAGAAAAGGGGCCGAAACCATCACTTGCAGCGTCGCGATGCTGCTGCAACGCTGCAAATGCCCACCCCTGCTGAAACTGAAAGTTGATTCGCCTCCTCTGTCGGCACCGACGCATCTCCTTCATCGCCGGTTGCAGAGTTCAAAGGTGTCACCGGTGGTGAAGAGAGAAGGGATAGACGAGGATGGGAAAATGTTTGTAATGGAATGGGTTGAAATGATTAGGGATTGGAATTAATTTGGGGATTTAGAGGTTGAGTAATTATATATATAAACCTGATTTTTGATTAATTGAACTTTGGACTTGGTTTTTTTAAAAGTGATCTCCAAACACCTGCCATTGTGTAATTTTCACATATTAAAATACTTATTTACATACTTATTATACTGTATAACCGTGAAAATAGTACCCAAATTTACTGACTTTGAAACTTTCCCATTTTTGAATTATAACTCATAAGTGTGTTATACAAATAATTTAATACTTAAATAAACTTAAATATTGATTAAATGAGCGAATTTATATTCACAATTATGTAATTATTGTTTTTATAAGTAAAAATCATCCAAAGAAATAGAAAAAGACAAAAAGGAGGAGAAAAGGACCAAAATTGTGCGAATTGTGAATTGGGGACCAAAATGAACTAGTGCAGAAAGTTGAAGGACAATGGATGCAATTTATGGATGGCAAAATTGATGTAAAATTCAAAATTTGATTATCAAGATCAAAGTGAGGGACCTAACATGCAGTTAATTAGGGACTTTGATGCAGAAGGAAACCAATTATTTGGTTCTTTTGGCAAAGAAATGACGCCTAGGCGCCACGTTTAATTCTTGGGGACCTCCATTTGTTTTATTTTCAAATATCGAAGGCTGTTTTACAATTATTCTAGGGATTTAAGGCTGCAATTTGAGGATAAATTCATAGGGTTTAAAGGCAGAAAACGGGCAACTTCTTGGGAGAGTCTTCGTCCGCCTTTTTATTTTCATTTTCTCTTCATTTTCTTTTGATTTTTCTTGTAATTGTAGGAGCAAAATCAAGAACACAAGAAGAATACATTTATAGAAAATACTTGGAGAAAATCAAGATCTAGCCATCAAGAATCTAAATCCAAAAAATGATTTTATCTTCACTCTTATATTTTCTTCATTATTGTCTCGAATTTGCAATATATTATATGAAATATTCTCCATTCTATTATCCGTATAAAATGGGCTGATTTTTGTGTTGGAATTTATGGTTGACATTTAATCTAGCCTTGATTAATTTCTATATTTTGCTTTTTAATATTAAAATACTTATTTTTCTTGTGTTTTTACTATTATCAAAAGAAGATTGTGCATTTTAGATCATAAGTAGAAACAATAAATTTGTGTAGAATGTAGAGATATACCCCTAAGTGGCCCAATAAACTATTTTCACAAAAAATTAATGGGTTGTTGATTTTAATCGACATAGAGATATAGTAAATTAAACCAATCAATTAAAATTAATTTCGTTCAAGAAAGATAATTAGCTAAAATTAAAATATCGGGTCTAACATCGTAAACGAGTAGTTTATTAATTGACTTGTGGAGAAATTAATTAGACGACAATTAAACGAAACCATGCATTCCAACCACGTTTTCCTCCAAATTTTCCAAGTATTTATGTTTACTTATTTTTGTTGATTTTATTCAATTTTCCTTATTTTTCAAAACTAAATCTTTATTGTGTGTTTGTTTTTATTGTTAAAATTAAATTGATTAAACTTGTGTAATCTAAAATAAGCATTCCTTGAGGGACAACTCAAACTCAAAATGTCGATTTTATTACTTAAACACGACTCATGTACTTGTGCTTTACAGTTTCTTGGTCAACAATAACTGAAATTGAAATGGCATAATTTACGCTGCAACTTAATTACAACAGCTAAAAGATTGTAAATTCAAATTAAAAATGGTTTTCGATTCTACAAGGATGTCAGAAAGGGTTACATGCAATCTCATCTCCTACTGAGTGACTTAAATCGAAATTTCATTCCTAGCCACAAAATATTTAACCTTCGCTTGTGCATCCTATTTGTGCCTTCTCGAAACTACCTCAAACAAATTTTATTTATTGAAATCAAGGAAAATGTTATTTAACGTGTGAATTATTAATAATTCTTTTTTTTTTTTTTTGGTGAAATATCATGTGACTTGCAAAATAGTTTGAAATTTAACCACTTACTTTTGCAATTCTACCAACATATTTAACTACGTTTTATGTGATTTATGGATTTGCATTAACTAAATTCTAAGATTTGTGAGATGGGTTTGTGAACTTGATAATAATCGTGAAATGATGTTTGTGGATTAATTGTACCCTCCGTCTCAACCAATAATTTTTGTTATAAATCTAGATTTCTTATATAAGTAATCAATTAATTATGAAAAATGGAGTTGCTCTTTATTCTCATTCTTTTTTTTCTCATTCTTTTTTTTTTTTTTTTTTTTTCAATTCTTGGTATTTCATTATTTCGAGGATTGCATTTCTGAATTTGATCCACTGATGAACGATATATTTGTGAATAATCACCATTTGTTTACCCCTATTTGTTATACATTTTTGATTTTTTGTGGAGTTGTAGGTATGGATTCCAATAACTTGTTCATAACTTGCGATACGAAGATTGGACTTTTCGTATCTAATGATTGCAAATTTGCAAAACTTGTTGAGGTGATCTCTATTGAGATAAAGATTGATAACACGGTAGCTTTTATGAAAATAGAGTATGATATCAATGATAACGTGGCCTGTTGAGGGTCACGAATGACAATACGCTAATTTTATATCCAGAGTTGAAGATGAAGGAATCTCGTTGATTTGTGCATCACATCATTGCCGATTTTTTAGATAACATTTGAATCGTATTCTCTCCTTGGTAAATTTGATGCTTTGCCTCCTTGTATCCAATTTTTCATCAATAAGAAATTGGGCGTCCATGATTCCTATATGGTTTTGAGATAATGCCCATGAGCACCCAATGCTTCTGTAAAGAAAATGTTGACTCTTTGACTCGGTTGTTAAACTCATTAGTTAAATGGGTTAAAGTCAGTTGGAGCCTAAGTTCTGTTATTGCAAATTGTTAGTAGCCGTAACAGAATCAGTTGTCCTTTGCTTGTTAATTTCTTTAATCCTGTGCCTATAAATAGGATTAAAGGGCTGGTACTTTAGAACCGTGTGAGTAAGAATACATTCTGTAGAAGAGAGAAAGTCAGGTTGAGAAAGAAATTCTCTGTAACTTTCTGTATTTTTTTCTTTCTGGGTCTCTTTTTTATTGATGAGTGCTAGTGTTTTGTGCAAATAGACACTGTGTAATACTCTGTTAAATGTTCGATTGACTGGGGGAAAAATTCCCTGCAGTGGTTGAAGAATTTTGTCTCCAAAAACATCAAATTCTTGTGTCAAAATTTGATTCTTTGCTGTGTTTATGTTCTGCCAAGTCTGTATCTTGTTTTCTAATGCTGTAAATCTGAATTGATCAAGCATTGAAGAGAGGAAAAATCCTGACAGCTTCTTTCCCAACTCAATTTTATATTATTTTTTTGGCTAAATTAGTTCTGATGATATTCTCATTTTTTTTTTTTTTTGGTTATAATTGCTAGATTAACATAAATTGGTTAATGTTTTGATAGTGAATATATCGTTAAATGTTTTGTTTAACAAAATGAAAAAAGAATAAGTTCAATATGTCTAACTTGCTGACATGTATAGATTTCGTACTCCTCCCAAATTTACATGTAGGGTAAGCAAATTTAACCAATAGTATGTACTTTGTTTTGGTGAAACTAGAAAGGATGATGTTAAATTAGTTCATGATAACTTGCCTAAAAAAGTACATATTATCATCTAAAATAGGAACACAATTTGTATGGCATCGCTTGCATTTTGTGTATTACAAAGGGGAATGACGTTAATGTTTTGATAGTGAATATATCGTTAAATGGTTTGTTTAACAAAATGAAAAAAGACTAAGTTCAATATGTCTAACTTGCTGATATGTATAGATTTCGTACTCCTCCCAAATTTACATGTAGGGTAAGCAAATTTAACCAATAGTATGTACTTTGTTTTGGTGAAACTAGAAAGGATGATGTTAAAATAGTTCATGATAACTTGCATAAAAAAGTACATATTATCATCTAAAATAGGAACACAATTTGTATGGCATCGCTTGCATTTTGTGTATTACAAAGGGGAATGACATCGAATTACATGTAGACATATGACAAATCTTATGTTACTCCTAATTACATGAACTTGCATCCATGCTTGTAGAGTTGGGTTAGCTAGGGAAGACCTTGGGTGTTTGGATCGAAAGTTTCTGATGTTTTATTATTTTCTGGTGGATAATGTATTCTGCGAACTTAATAACAACAAGAACATAATCATAGCTGCATCAGTGAGGAAAAAGAGTAAGGAACCGAATATCATATTGTTAGAAATGTCATAGATTAGTAGACTCACATTGAATGTGTTACCATTTATCACCTTTATTTTCTTTTTATCGATAGAGCTACATTAAAATCACAGAATCGCCGTTTGCATGCCAAATTAAACAAAAACTAAAAGAATTATTTTTTTCATTATTTGCACCCCATACTTAACTATAGAATCAATAGCAATACATGGGATAAATAAAAAGATGTTTATAAAAGAATTCACAGGAACCCACATGCCAAATTTTGCTTTTGTTTATATGGAAATAAACAAAAATAACTTGTAAAAGAAAATTTTTTTTTTGAAGAAACACAACGAAGAAATCTCAATACAAACACATAGATAAATGAAGAGAACATGCCTGCATAAGATAATGGAATATTTACAAATTGAAAAGAAAAGAAAGTGGCAACTCTCAGTGAGCACAGTAGCAACAGATCATTTTATTAATTGCTATACAAGTGGAAATAGGATATTGGAGGACATTTCAGTTTAAGTATATGTTGTTTGCAGACAAAAAACTAATGTTCTCATGAGCTATTATAACATCAGAATGCGTCCAAATAATTGGAATTTCATTGACGACCCATATAATAAAGTAGATATGCACATATAATATTGTGTGACGATGTACTTATCTATAATCGTCTTGTGGAATATTAGTAGCACTTTTCACATCAAGAGTCTCAATGCGCTCAACCCGATCAATGATGATGGGTGGCCAAACATTTATCTTAACAACGAGACATGGAAGAACATAAGTAAACACTCCCACCTCAGCTATAACAATGTCTCTCACTGTCAGTCCACTATAATATTATTGTAGAAAAAGATTTTTGGACTGAGAACAAGGAATTAATTAACCTTGGTTATGGCAAAGACTAATCCATGTGATCCCTTTGAATTTTTTGGTTTCCAATCTCATGGATTTCGTTTCGATAGAAGATGATGATATGGCAGAGAAGAATTTGGGCAAGAATTTTCTATCAAAGAATGTGACATAGCTTGTTTGGTGGAGCGACATTAGCCACCTAATTGATTAATCTTAGAAGTTTAGTCATTTTTTAGATACCAATTGTTCTTTAAATATTGCAATATTTATGGTATAAAAAATAATGGATATTAATATTTGAAATTGTATTTAAAATAGAGGGAGTGGTGTAATTTCCTCCTTCGAATATCACCTTTCTGGCCCTTAAGTCCACGGATATAGTAGTCATGGCCAAAGGAGTTGAAGGTGATGGATAGATTGTCGGTGAAGAAGGTGACAATTGTAGATGTTGAGTTAACAGAGTGCTTCGATTGTATGTCTAGTGATGTACTCGAATACTACACATTTTATTATCGATGATGCTAAACAAAGTGTTTTGATTGCTGTTAAAATTAGTGTTATATGACTTGATCGTTACAAATTGAAGTTATTTGATTTCGTTGAGTAGGGTGAACTCTACAATCAACTATGTCCATGTCGGTTGCTAGTTATGCTGGTGTTAGTTTTATAACAACCATCTCAGCAAAATCTACTATTGCTGACATTGTACAAATTAAATTAAATGGTTTAATTTCTGATAATTAAAGTTCAGTGACCTAATTCTAATTGAATTGAAAGTTTAGTGACTACCGATACAAGGGGATAAACTGTTTCTATTTTCTTGAACGCCAAATAAAAAACCTCGCTCTTATCCACAACTCCATATTCTCAAATTGAAATTCACAGTCCAATTCCCAATTTCATTTCCATCAGTCCACTGACAGTCCATTAGCAATCTTTTCGGCGGAAAACTACTAGAAGTTCATATAAGCATTTCATCGAACAGTTTCCGTACACAATGGCGACGGCATTTACTCCTGCAACTCATATACGCTGTAATTCTCCAAGAATCCTCCCGTCCTTCATCCCAGGTCCCTGTTTAATTCTGAGCAATTTTGCTTAAAAGTAATTTTTATGCTTTCTTACTTTCATCTTGGTTTTCGAACGCATATTGATTGAAAGAAAATGTATTTATAATCGAGATTTCTGCTGCAGGTTCTAATTTGAAATCTGGGAAAGTTGTTTCGTGGAATGCGGCTTCGAATTACGTTAAGCTTCAGGTCGGGACAGGGGGGTTTTCTGGCAAGCCTCTTGTTGTTACAAAGCCATGGATGAAGAGGCAAGTCAAGTTTCGAAACTTACCTGCAATTATGGCTAGCTTAATGAATGACTCCTGTTTTGGTGTTAATTATGTGGACTTGACTTTGTTTTCCGTTTTTCTTTTTCCCTTGATAAATTATCAGAGCCAGTACTTTGAGATGTGCAACTATTGAAGAAATTGAGGCGGAGAAGTCTTTGATTGAGAAGGATGCTGTAAGTTTTTGCGCTTGATTAACTCAAGATTGCCTTCTGTACCATTTCCTTTTTCCACATGGGAACTTCTAGCAAAGCTTGATTTTATTTTTTTTCAGAAAGGAAGGATGGAAAAGACTATTGACACTTTGAGGTCCAATTTTATGTCCATAAGAACCGGGAGAGCGAACCCAGCAATGCTGGATAAAATTGAGGTACCATCTAACGTTTGTAGAATGTTTGTGTTTGAGCACTTTCCCTTACTTTATTTATTGTTACAGTCTTACAGAATGCTGTATATGCCACAACCCAAAACCTGCAAAATAGATTTTTACTCTTATAGAGACATTGCAGTCGAGTTTACAACTGGGTATTCTACAGTTTTAAAATTATACACCATCGATTCTCTTTCAAACATTTCAAACCAGAAATATAAGGTTATGTCTGCAGCTTTCCTTATCCTTACCCCATTCTATGAACCTCCTTCTTCCAAATTTTGAGCAGAGACAAGTTAAGTTCTGAGATAGAGTTTTGGTGTAATGTTTATTGGCCACAAGAACAAAATCCAAAGACTTGGCTGTCCAACAATAAAAAGTTGTAGGTGCCTATAATAGCATAATTTTAAATTGCTTATTCTCCTTTGTTCTTTGAAAGCAATCACACTGAACCTCGTAAAGGTTTTGATTCGGAACCTTTTAGACTGATTTATGACCCAAAACTTGTTAATAGCTCTATGAAAAACATGAGACGTTTAAATCAAGCATTGGTGAATGACTTGCAACCGAAATTTACATTTTATAATATGAATTTGAATGTTGATATCTTTAGTTTTCTAACAACTGAACCTTTAATCTGCTTCCTTTTCCTAGGTGGAGTACTATGGAACACCAGTGAACTTAAAGAGTATAGCTCAAATCAGTACTCCTGATGCAAGTTCTCTCATGGTACAGCCTTATGACAAATCCAGGTATGGCAATCTCATGCTAAACAAGAGCAATGCTGACTCCAGTAGCTGTGATTTGGCTTATAGCTGTTAAGATTTGGACTGGTTTATGGACTAGGATAATCACAAAGTGGCTTTGTTTCTTTTCTATTTTTAATTGGATCTGATCTTATCCTTTTTTGAAAAGAAGCTTGTGCGGTAAAAAGAATGGTTTTTTTTTTTTTAATAAGTAATTAGGTAATTTTATTAATCAAAAGATAATACATGGGAGGTGTATTATCAGTTTAAACAAGAAAGAAACGACATGAAGTTAATGCAGGATCTCCCCGAAATGTGAATTTAGTTTGTTAATGTCTCAAATTTTGAGAACTACACTTATGAAAATATAGAAGAGTGAGATAGAACTATTAGTTATGTGACCGAATTTCTATTGTTTATATGTTTTTTATGTTCGGACATTTCATAAGTTGCATATCTGTCATTTGTTATTTGAATTGTAGTTACATGTATACATCATTTGGTGGTACAATCTTGTTTTCGATCATTTTCAGCTTGAAGGCTATAGAAAAGGCAATTGTCAGCTCTGACCTTGGTTTGACTCCAAATAATGATGGAGAAGTTATTAGATTGACCCTCCCTCAACTGACATCAGAGAGGAGGAAGGTACTTTTCGAGCTAGTGCTGAGTGAAGCGTGTTCTATATCCCATCTACAGTATTTGGTTTGGGGTTACTTTTGTTGCTGTCTACCAATAATCTTGTTTGCTGTAAATGGGTGTTAATGATGTCGTTTGATTCATAAATATGCAGTAACACTTAATTCAATTGATCGTGTATGTAAGGAAGTTATTCTTGCTAACCGAGGAAATAGATGACTTCAGTTTAAGTTCTTTTTAACTCTTTAAGTTATACAGAGTCCCATCACTTGTACATGGCGTTCGAAGACTAGCTTTCATGAAAGGTTTCATCTGTATTAAAATTTTTAAACACCATTTAGCTTGTTGCCTTTTCTTTTACTTCCGTATCCAGGTTTACAATCCCCACCCACCTGTCAAAATGATAATGAAAATCCTGTTCATGGATCTTACTGGCTTTTCATTGCATGAACGACCATGTAGCTGATTTTACTGTTACCTACCAGGCTTTTCATCACATCTTTTATAGTGCAATAGTTTACTGTTCACGAGTTAGCTGTACTTACCTTCCCTGTGTCTTCAGATCACTTGTGCCTCTGCAAACACCAGGAGATACACCCATTCTAGTAAAATAGAAGTTTCAGTACAAAATAAGTCTAGTCAACCGTCAGCTGAGTCCTGAGGTTGATGCATACTCTACATACTTGATCATAATGAGCACATTTCGTTTCTAGGTATAATGACTTGTGCCCGTATACCATTGTTGCTTGAAATAGATTACAGAGTTTGCTATTCCACAACGTATAAATGTCTTAATTGAGCATGTATCAATGTGCATTTTTCTGCAACATATGCTGTAATAGTTATATTTACTTTCTTCTATTGTTTATTTCAGGGGCTGTCAAAAATTGTCGCCAAACAGGCTGAAGAAGGGAAGGTATACAAAATCCACAAAATATGGTTCAAATGACTTGTTCTACTAATTTGTGTGATTCTTGGGAAGGTCCTGTTGTATTAGTTGGCCTTTGTTTTGATGTTAAAGCTATTTCATTAATGGAGATCTGCTGCATTTCTTTATCTGGTGTGATCTTTGAGTTCTTTCCTTCAAATTTTTGGACCCAATCATGGATTCTAAAATAATTTTACCTGAAAGGGGTTGGTCCCACCTTTCCCATGATGGGTGTGCAAGAGAAGGGATACTTTTGAGTGCCTAATGGCAACTTAATTCCTTTTTTTTCCTAGTTATGTCATACCAACAAAAATATGTGGCTGGTATCATTAATTGCTTCGTATTCTGGTAGCAGATTTGATCAAAACTGTGCATTGACCAAAAATGATATGTTGAAATCTTTTGGGAGCTTGGTGTATTTTTTTCAACCATTTTTGTAGGCTCGCTTTCTGTAGATATTAATGACGTTTATTTTCTATTTGCCCATGTAAAAAAAATGACGTTTTATCCATCTTTGATTGTATCCTATAACTAACCTCAAGTTGCTCACAATGCTTATAGGTGGCTATAAGGAATATAAGAAGAGATGCTATTAAATCCTATGAAAAACTTGAAAAGGTCTGAGATTATCCCTCTTCCCTTTCTTTCTATGTCAGTGTTATGTTAATTTATCAAAGTATCCTGCAGGAGAAAAAGCTCTCTGAAGACAATGTGAAGGATCTCTCTAGTGATCTGCAGGTACCTAGATTAGACGTTGATTTTCTTATTGCTGATAGTTACATTAGAATAAGCCAGAAAGTCTGTACACTATTAACTGTAGACTGCTTCCTACCTTGACAATTGTATTCTTTATTTGCAGAAAGTGACGGATGAGTACATGAAGAAGATTGATTCAATCTTCAAACAGAAGGAGAAGGTATAGGAGCATTCTGACCCCTCTTTTTTTTTTTTTTTTTTTTTTTTAAATTTTTTCTTTTTTTTTTTTTTTTTTTAAAAATTTTTTTTTTTTTTTTTTTAAAAATTTTTTTTTTTTTTTTTTTAAAAATTTTTTTTTTTTTTTTTTTAAATTTTTTTTTTCCCCTTTTTTTTTTTTTTTTTTTTTTATAAATCTTTTCTTTTTTCTTTTTCTGGTTTGGTGAGAGGGGGAACAGCGAATTCACGAGCCTTTTGGGTTTCCCGAAATTGATAATTTGCTAGTTTACTTCCCCAGGACCAAGAACCTCGTTTTATCCCCCTCACAAATAATTAACTATAATTAACGAAATGAAAATAAGTTAAGAAGCGCCCATGTTTGTGGCATCTACGTGCTCTGCCACATGACTTTCAAATACCATATTGCCATATGAGAGAGAAGAACATTGAACCTTGAAGAAAGAATTAAGTAGAAAAACCTTATTGACTGGCAAATTCATCTTGTTATCACCATATAATCTAATTGCTATTTTTTAAGGTCAATCATTCTTTTCCCTAACTGTGAGCTTTATGTTCCTTGTCTTGTGAGTCGTAAGGTCATTAAAATTTCGTTAATCAGATTAAGCAGTCCTTTTCATACACTGATCTCCATTCGTCTTCCTTGTATTTCAGGAGTTGCTGACAGTTTGAGAACATTTTTATGCCGACTTCTTGTAGTTAGAGAGTTCATCAACGAAGTCCATTTCCGTGCATAGTGTTGTTGCAAATCCGGGCTTGTTTAGTATCTGGAAATACGAAAAGAACAGTGAGAAAACTGATATCTTGAAGGTATTGCTCTTTTTTAGGCTCCGAACAGTTTTAATGAGCAAATACTTGTATCTTGTACATTTTATTAAAGATGAAGCTGATTTTAGGCTGAATGATTTCATTATATTTTCGGTATCTTGCTCAAAACAATTTCATCTTTTCCTTATTACTGCAACGCTAACGTTGATAATTTTATACGAGGAACTACAATTCCTTTTTATTTTATTTATTTATTTATTTTCCCTGTCGAGTTCAGCAAGGGGATTTGCGTATTTTAATTATATTTGCATTTCTTTGGGCTTTCTGGTTATGCAAAATCTATGAAAATGTTATATTTTTCTCTGTGATGTAAGTTGACATTTGAATAACTGAAATAGTAAACTTTGAAATTCGTACAAGTCAACTCTTTGAACTGGATTGGGTCTTCTAGGTTGGTTTTTGTAATAATCAAATCTTATTTGAATAATAATAACAATTAAAGTTACAATACAGCCATATACACTTGTAGATCTCCACTAAATTGAATTAGATAATGTTTGAAAAAGAAATTAAATTATGACGC